TAGCAGCTGTCAGTAATTTAACTCATTTCCATCTCTTTCACAATCTTATATCCAGTTTGTAGACAAAATTGAGACACATGATTGGTAATTATTCATTATCACCATTATCCAGCTGCTACTTGTTAAAGCTAATGCTTACAGAAGCATTCTGTATCCCTGACATGATGATTTTAGCACCTATCTCTCATACAGCTTTATTTTCAGATCTGCTGAGTGCCCAGAGCAAAAAGGTTAGGCTGTGATGCGTGTTTGCTGCTGAATTTTAAGAACCAAAGTGTCTTCAGTTAGACAAGTTTTTATTTTTACTTTTTCTCAGACAACGCTTCTAAACAAACATTCATGTAGCTGACTGCATGGATCTCAGGAGAACTTCCTTAAAAGAAAGGAGAAAGACAAAGGAATTACCATCATTTAACTAGGCTACTCCTCGCAATGACTGAGAAACAATCAGACTGTAGTCTGAGAGCCACAGTGAAAGGTTACATGACTAATTTGTATTTGCATTGTCTAGCTGGTAGGAGGAAGGAGGATGTAGCCACAATAGCCAATTTATCTGAAGAACAATGTAGTCATTCAACAGGGCATTATTCTGAACTAATTTAAATGACAGTAAAGCAGCCTGCTCTTGACTTAAGAAATCATAAGTCTTTCAAATTTCGTATCTAATAATCAAATTTTACCACTGACTTATTTGTTGACAGAAATTACTTATAGCTAATATGTTCCTGTTGCAGACCCTGAGGACTCTTTGTTTATGCTAAACGTGAATGTATTCTAGCACATGAATTACTATCCTCCTGCTTGTTTCTTGGGCGCCTCCAGAATAAGTAATACATTGGCATAACTTTGCCATTTGTCAGCCAGCAGTCTGGTAGCACATTTGCTCGTCAATCTAATTTTAACCTTTTCTCATATGAGCACTTGGTACTTCATGTAAATCAACCAGACAGTCTGTCATTCGATAGGACACTATCTTCATAGTCTTCTAAACTATGTGCTCTATCATATGTGTTCATTTTTAAGTAGCAGAGGAAAATTAAAACTAATATATTACTTCTGGTTTCTTAATACCAGAATGCCAGGAATCTCTTTATTACCACAATAGAGATAAATGATACGTCTAGCAGAGTTTTTTGACAATGGGCATGGTAATGCATTCAGCACTTTCTGAACTGGAAGGTCTGTTCTGAATGGTAAGTAGTGCAATGTGTGGCTAAAGGCTTCATAGCACATAGAGTAGGTCTGTTCCTATTATCGCTGTAATTTGCAGCTAGGAATACAAAACATACATTCAACTGATTAGTGAAAAATATATTTATAAATAATTACATTATGGTTCCGATAAGTTTCTTGTTAAAATACTGAAGCTGACTCTGAGAAGGAGAACATAATTCACTCCTAAATTTAGGTAAGTTTGTCAATGTTAATTTCTTTTGATAATTTGTGTAAATAACATGAAAGGCTTACTGGTATGTCCTTTACTTTGTGAGGTTTTTCAGAAATTGATTTGGCTATGAAATAGTATGTTTGAAGTTACACTTTTAGCTGTTTTCTCAGGGTTGCTGTAACTATGCATCACTTCAATATCTTTTATTTTTTTAAACATGAAATGAAGAAGGTCATAGTCCATTTATACAGCCTAAACACATTCTGGCTTTTTCAGCTTTTTTACTGCATGAAGAATGTTTTTAAAATGAAGTTTTAAAGTGGTACAGAAATGATCTGCAACTTCTGCTAAAAAATCAGTCCCATACAACACCTGTAATCATTCACTAAATGGTACAATAATTAACTGTTTTAACAATTATGAAAGCTAGAGTTTGACTGATCTATATTTTCCTTATTAATACTTTGAGACTATTAAAGCTGCATTGCATTTCACTCAGGCTTGTGAGAGATAAACTAAAACTACGTGTAATTAATACTAGATTCTGTTCTAATGATTTATGACATCGTACTTGGTCTGAGGCAGACAATGAAGGGTGCCTGCATTTTTCCCCAGCACAGTACTTTGTAGTCCCTTTACCAAAGAGCAGAAGTGAAGCTCATTGACTCCTGTAACACCACAAATGCACCTCAGTTCATTTTTTGTTGTGCTGCTGTTGTTTACTTAGACTTCATCATGCTTTCAGTCCATCCTACTGCCATGCTTCCTTTTCAGCACCTTCTGTATATGGTATGTACCCCATTATTGCTGTGGAATTCTCACCTCTGTTGTGTCCCTGGTGAATGAGTTATAATTAATTTTATTTCTTATTAATTTAATTGTATTAATAATTATAAATAATTATATTTGTACAATCTCTATCCCAAAGATCTGTTTCTGATTGAGGTAGTAGTGTAATAGAAGTAAGAACACAGGAACTGCTTCTAACACCACCTTCAGTATCTTTTTTAATCTCTAAATCAAGTACATGCAATATTTGTTGATCAAGATCTAAAGTTATATATGACTTCATTTAACACAAAAATTGGAGAAAGTGTTAGCCACAGACTGATTAAGTATCTTCAGGAACACAGGCCTGAGGTATCTGGCCATAAGTATTATCTTCAATAAATAAATACACAGCAGCAAGAATTTGTCCCAGAAAATGGTCAGGTAATTCTATTACTTAATTTTGCGTAGTGGAGTTATATGTGAGTTTATCTTCCATGCTCTGATGTAGTTTTCACATGGGAGTTTGTTGGTCTTCCATACCTAGATCTTTTGGGGCCAGTCATCTGCAGTTTCAGCTCTCAGGGATGTAAATGTATCTAGGCAAAATTCAATATGGTTGGTGAGGTAGACTGTCACAAGCAGTGACAGCATCTGATTTCACTGAGCTTGTCAAAACTAATTTTATATGTAATTTGTTCACTGTATATGAGATCCTCTGTTTTGCCACCATTGGTCTTACAGTTGTGAGGTTTACCTAGTTCAGGGTAGTGCACAGAACTAATAAATGTTTTCTCTGAGGAAAAACTGAATTTCTGGGGATGGAGGGGCTGCATTATAACACAGGAAAAGTATTTTCTGGTCTTACTTATTGTTTGTGCATTGGAGCACACATCTTTGACAAACATCTTTTTTTTTTTTCTTCAAATTTTTTATGACTCCTGGTCTTTATGGATAACTGAAGAAACAACTGGTCAGCAGGATCAGAAGTAACAGAATTATACATGGTATGAATCTGTTCTCAGATCTTGTATATAAGAAGGCAGGGGTTTTTTTGTTTGTTTGTTCTATGCTTGTATGAAGGAAAGAGAAGAATCATGGTAAGGCAATATGATTCTATAATATTTTTCCCTGGAGCGCGTATCTAAGGACAATCTGTTCTAGTTCTTAGCAATATATTCCTCCAGGAATCTAAGGCAAAATTCAACCATCTCTACTCGATTGGCTCAGTCTTTCTCTGTCACTTTTCGTGTATTTTTTATATCATTCAAAAAAAAAAATAATCCACCCTTAAATGCATTTTCAGGTGCTGCTAGTGAGACAGCTTTAAAAATACCTTTGTCCCCAAGCCATTAATCATACAGATTCTGCTACCGTCCATTGGTTTCTTAATCTTGATTCAGTCCCACCTGTTAGATGACAAGTCTAGGTATCAGAGTCTAAATTTGGCTCACTTCATTGTTTACGTAATGTTTCCTAAAAAAAAAAAAAAAAAAGGTTAGTGCCACAGCAACGTACTGTCAAGCTGAGTTGCAGATATTTAGGCCCCATGTGGCAGCTAAGGAGAATGGAGAATATTCTGTCCTCTCTAGTGTCTGGCATCCTGACTTGGAGTTTGTATACCTATCCTCCTCAAATCATCAGATTAAAAAAATAAATAAAGTGAAAAAAATAATGTTCTAAAAATGTAGCTAGACTACTCTAGAGAAAGGAGGACTTCAGGTGTTTCACTTCGAAACTGAGTTTACCCTTATTGAAGTAAATAGAAATGCAAAAAAATAAAGATCACCTCTACCCCAGCTTTAGTGAACTACGTGATATAATTATAATTGAAGGTCATTCTTTAGACATTTAAGTTCTGTTTTCAAGGGCACTTATTTGGGAAGTGGCACATTAGGGAATCCTATTATCACACTGACAGTAAAAGCCCAGGAAAAGGGCCTTTATGATTTGTATTATAGAAGTATGTATAAACACATAGCAGAGGTTGCTCCACAGAGCTCGGTTGCTGGGTTTGCGTGACGCCAAGGCAGATGCCATGCGGTGCAGCCATTTGTGTCTCAGCGGCCTGCACCTGCTGGGCCCAGCTTCTTTCATCCCATGCATCCTGGTCACTGTGAGCAGCTCTTGAGTTTGGCGTGTGGTGGGCACTGCTCGGTGACCCTGTGCGCCAGGCACAGCTTGCCAAGGCGATTAGTGGCTTGTGTCTGACTGAGGCTAAATGCCAGAAATGGGGTGGGAAGGGAAGCACCTCCCACCACCTTGCTCCACATACATGGTCTCCAGGCCTTGAAGTCAGCTGCCAATTTACAACTTTAGGCCCTAATTAGCTCCTAGGGACGTATCAATAAAAAGCCACGATTTGGGTTTATAGGTAGCAACAAGTGTTACTGTTCTTCCTCAGCAAAATTTATTCTCTGATAGTTTTTTCCACCCAGTCCTAAGGCACTTTTCTCTTCGAGTGTAACTTACTACTCTGCTCTGACCTCACTGCTGCTAATGTTACCTCCATTTTGGGTCCACGCACGGTTCCCTGAAGCTTTCCTGCCTGCTGTTTGTTCCCCTCCTCCCTTTCCCCTGAAGCACCTCCACAGACTGAATGCTCTCAGAGGAAATGGCCTACCACCCCTCTCCTCTCACACCCCAGCATGGGCTTTACTGAATGCAAAGCCATCTCGGGCCCAAGGCAAGTTTCTGTCAAAAAGCAGATACAGGTGTAGGCAATACTGGTATTAAAGTAACCTCCAGCAGACCCCACACCTTGCAACAGGGAGAGAGTGATCTTGGGCCTATTTTCTCCCCACCTGTGGGCATCAGCTGAAAGGGCTGCACACGAGGCAGTGGTTGTTAAATTTCTACTGGGCCTAGCAGAGAGGAGTTTGCTTTTATTTAGTACAGGGGATAGGAAGAAGCAGCAGTAGCATCAACACCACCACTGCTGGTGGTGAGAGGTCTCCAAATGTGTCCTAGGCCTGTGGTGGAGTTCTGAGGCCCTCTGCCCCTGCAGTGGGTGGCCTGGTATGGTGAGGGGCCCAGCGGCTGCTGTCCCTGTTGGGCCACCTCAGGGTGCCCTGGGCACAGCAGTCCCCAGCCTTGTTACACACAGTGTCCCCTGCTTGATCTTTCACTCCTGCTTTTCCAATTCTCTTCCATGTGCTCCCAGAACAGACCCTGACCTCACCCTGCTTCTGTTCTGTTTGCTTTCCCTTTTCATATAGTGCTGCCCCAGCTCTTCATCCCCTGCCCAGAAAAGTAAGACATATGCTGGGGTGCCTTTGTTCTGTGTGCCCACTTAGTGTTAGAAGAGAGATAAGGTATTTGTTCTTCTATGTTGTGATCTGTTTGATGCTGATGCTTTCTTGCTCATATCCTAATGTAACTCTGCCTTCGTGCTTTTTCTGATTTTGTCTGGGGTTTGTCTGGGATTCTTTTGTGCATCCCAAACTAAGGACGTTCTGCTAACCTGGTCAAATAACCTAAATTTTGATCTGTTAAAATGAACTTACTGTGCAATGTGAAAAAGCACCTTCGGAAACCACAAGTGACCTGATTGGAAAGTAAGTGAGCTGGAGGCAGAAGCACTGAATGTACAGGAATAGAGTAGATTAAGGTTATAGCAAATAAAAGGATTTAGAAATCAGAATGGCCTTAACACCAGTCTCTAAAGTAATGGATTAATTATTCCAGAGAGATTGTGCTGTGTGTCCCTGTGCTAACAGGGCTTTTATTTCTTCCCCCTGGTGAGAGGCAGGAAAGTGGTTGCTTAAATCACTATTGACATACAGCATATGAATTCCAGTTTTGATTTTATGAACAGCCTCTATCATCATGTCTTCTGTGGACTGTCTCATGCTCGTTGTGCTGTGGGGTTAGACACACTGTCACCATCCCTATAAATAGCCTGCTTGGTTATGAAGGACTAGTAGTATTTCCTCTGGGAAGAATAGGACTTTTGACTGGTGGCATTTTAGGCCAGTTCTCTTTAAACCTCCTAGAGGAGATAGGGTTTGGACAGTGAGAAACCTGCTAGAGAAAGCCAATAATCAAGGTATTAATTGTTGAAGTGCAGGCACCCAGTGAGTGTGGAGGGTCCACAGAGAAAATTGAAGTTAAGAGGAGTAGGACAGTGGTGTGCTTTTAAAAAGAAAGGTCAGCTGCAGGGCTGGTAAGGAGCAAGAAAGCTACTATGCAGAGAAAGAGAAGCTCCCTGTGATACAGCGGGAAGCAGAGCTGCTGTGCAAGACTGTTGCAGCATTGGACAGGTCTGCTCCGTGCCCAAAAAATGCTCAAGCGTATTGGAGAACGGGAGGTAAGCTGACATTGCTTTCCGTATCTTTATTTTTGGAACAAAGTAGGAGGTAATTATGTATAGAAAATGCCGTGTTTCATCTATCAACTGTTTAGCTGCTAGTATGGTCTCTGAGTGTGGAGAACACCTTCAAGCAAATACATAGCACACTCAAGGTAGGTTTGGTGGGGTGGATGCTTTTAAGCTTGTCAAAAGAAGTTCTAGAGATATAGGTCATCTGGTCTGTACAACCCTGTTTCTGTGAAGAAATATCCTGGAGACACCAAAGAGAGTGCAGGTTCAGCTGACTGTGCAGTGAGGCAAATTCCACTGCACACAGTGTGAGAGGTCAAATACAGCATGGTGTTGACATATAACAAGGCTTCCTAAGTGTCTTCTGGCTATTGAAAGTAACAAATGCCAAGGTATCTGGGGGTTTTCCTTGCAATTAACAATTTGTCTGGAATTCAGACATCACCTTCCACAATTTGGGATGTTTCCAACAGTGCATTTAATTGTCAGAAGAACCTTTTGTGCAAATAGTGAGTCCGTATACAAAAAGATTGCTCTGCCAAAAGGAATGAAATAGACCATTAAATTTAAGGATGACTAACTTTTTCTGAATAGTGAAGAAAACACCACACTTGCCAGTTATCTCTTCTGTGCATTTCCTCAGTTGTGGCTGAGGCCATCTGATGACTGTTTCCCTTTCACTCCCAGCGCAGTGCAGTCTGTCTGCTGTCAGCAGTTAATGAAGTCACTCACAAGCCTCCATTCCCCGGGGAAAAGCACTTCTATGAATAGACCTGTTACTTACGTCTCTGTTTGCAATGCTCTCAGCGCTTCTTTTGCTGTGCCACCATTTCTAATGATTGTGCCATTTTTGAACAATGCCCTTTCATTGTAGAGCTACTGCTATTCAGGATGCCAAAAAAGCTCTTGCTTCTGGCACAGCTGTTAAAGTCCTGTGAAGGCTTCTGTGTTGTCCTCAGTGACAGACACATGTTCTGAGGTACCACAGGCTTACCAAAAATGTGCGGAAAGTGAATGAATAGTCTTATTGCAGCACGTATTTTCAATAATAGTCCACAGGGAATTTCATCATGAGATACTTCATCAACACATGTCCTACAATAAGGAGGAAATAATAAAGGTTTTTGTTTCTGAGAACAAAATATTTCCATCCTACTGAAATAGAAAGGGAAACTTGATCTGATGAGAAGTACTAGAGAACATCACATATTTGCCCAGCTGAGCTTGCACGTCTGGTTATGATTAAGCATGTGTTTATAAGGAGCTATGTGTTGGTCTAGACAGAGGTGAGCTATAAAAGAAATGAAGATAAAAAGATAGATAAAGAATGATGAATCATGATAATGTATTGTCCCAAGGACAGAAATGTAAGAGCTTATACTACAATTTGTAGGGTCTACCAGTGAAGTCAAAGACTACTCAGTGGAGTTAAGTCACTGGTTTGTGTTTTCATGACTGAGTTGTGTGGTTGAGGTCTAACCCCAAATAATTTTAGTTGAACACCTGTCTAAGAAAATTTAGCTATGAATACCAATAAATAGTCAAAAGGGGAGGGACTGAGTAAAACAGCATTTGGTTTAAACATTGCCTATTCTTTCTCTGGGAGATGTGGGAGACAATTTTTTAAAAAAAATGTTTTTAATATCCACTTTTTTTTTTGACTGGACTTATTCTTAACAGGCTCCCCCAACATCAAGTTGTCAAAATTTTAGTTCTCAGAGAGTTATGATAAGCTCTTCTATAAAGTGCAAACTGTCTATTTCTCTGCACCATGAATGTCTGAATTGTTCCTACATGAGCAGAGTTCAAGTTGTTTTCATATATGAACCTTTGTTCATGTTCCTCATCCTCCTACTTATATAAAGCCAAAACAAAAGAAACTTGTTACCCAGACTTTTCATTTGATATTAATTCTGGGTGGCTGAATAAGTCTGTGATTCATGACCCATGTTAAAATTTAACGTCAGCCTTTAATGTGTTCAGCCTGACACATGGTGTGTCTTATAATATTGATATATCTCATCGACCTAGCAATCTGCATCAGCTTGCTGAAACATGCCACGAAAGGAAAATGATACAGTTGTCCTGATCTACTTCTCTGTCAAAGCTTTAATTAAAACATTCACACTGTCTGCTAAGGGTTCGGGGGAAACTCATAAGATGCCTGTGCAGTCATTCACAACATTTCATTTTGAAAGTTTAGGAGGATAGGAATATGCTCATAAATCAGACTCCTGTGACCTGGTCAGCATCTCAACAGCATCCAAAGCTTATCTGACTTGCTCTCCAGAATCCTGTATCTAAGAAAACACAAATTCACGCATCAGATTTTTCCCTGATGCATTTGACAAGCATTTACTTCCAGTAACAACCCAAGCAGTTGCAGTGAATTCATCAGACCTGCAGAGCCAGAGCAGCACTGTTCTCACAGTGGTTGGCATCCTTTTCTCAGAGATGCAGAGGTACAGACCTGAGGATGGATTTCCCTATCAGGGTATTTTTTTTTCCCCATTGCTGGCACCCAGACAGCCTGGAGGCTGTGACAAGGCAATACTCAGCCATCTGTAGGTTTGTCAGCTGGGAGATAGAGCTTGATCAAAATGAAGTTTCATTTACTGGTAGCTGCTCCTGAAATGCGACCCTACCAGACCACATAGGAACAGCACTTGTGTGATAAAGCCAACTGGCTATGTCTGCAGAGGTTTCTTATTAAGGTCATGTAGAGATTTTTTTATTTATTTATTTTTTCTTTACCCAAGCAGAACCATCTAGAAGGTAGGACTGAAAATGCTGCTGTCATCTTCCCACCCCCAGGACAAAAAACCTACTTGTAACAGTGATCCTTATCGTCATTGGAGGATGCTTCTTGCTTCCTTTGGTCCCACAGTGCCATGCTAGCATCAGTTCCTCTGATCCAGTAGCAGTGGATGTTAAAAGCACAGCCAATACCTCAATTGGCTATTTAAAATCAGCTTCAGCAAGCATTGCTCCCTCTCTGACCTTTTCCTGGCTTTTGTATCCCCTATGTTTGGCTGTCCACCCAGGCATTTCGGCTCAGATTTGGAAATCCCCTGTTCTCAACACTGGACTGTTATTTTTCGGGCAGAATTTACATGCTGTCCTCATAAAATCAGGACATCTGTGATGCCTGTGCTGTTATTCAGAGTATTAATAGAAATTATAAACAGAAAGAAGTCTCAAACACAGGCTGTCAAGGCAGGAGCTTGCGATGCTCTGTCTGAGCCTGAACTAGTCGCAAGAGAGGAGCAGCTTCTTCTAAGGAGTGATCTTCCTCAAGCAATCTTCATCAGTATAATAACAAAAGAAGCACAATACCAGGACCATTAAGAAAACAGTATGCTATGAAGATTGTGAACTTAGAAGAATGTAAACAAAAGGCCAAGACTTGAAAGATTCATTAATATGTAAGTTCAGAAGCACTGGCTAAATCAAACTATCTTTGCTCAACACAAAAACATAGCAAATGAAACTAAGAGGTGCTTTTGAAGAAGCAGGGGGGAGAGGAAAGAAAAATACCACTGTAGAAGTGGTAAGAATAAATCAGATAGTAACACATGAGAACATAGGTATCAGTGGAGAATGAAGGGAAAAATAGACTTTATTATTCTATATGAGCAAACCGATGTTAGATGAGACTTGTGAAATGAATGCCTTTATCAGTAATGCGACTTTGCACTGGTATCATGAATAACTGTTTATCAGCAGGTTCCAAAAACCCAATCACACTCTGAATAAGTAACTGCAATGTTCTTGTTTGCTTTTTTATAGCTTTTAAACCATAAATATTGAGCAGCTTACAAAAAAATGTGAGAGAAAATGATGACATAATAAGAACAGATAAATATGTACTTTCTCCAAGCCACTGCTAGCATATTCAGTTTGCTACTGGCACTATTTATTATATAATCTTGCTTGAAATTGTTACCACGATTTGAGCAGTAGGTTGTGTACCATTGCCCTTTATCTTTAAGTTAACGTGAAACAGGAAAACGTGGGCATTTGTGGTTTTCCCTTGTGCAAGAAAGGTCAAACTACAGAACAGTATAGGAATATCCATAACTTTGAATTTCACAAAGCTGAAAAAAAAATAAATTAACATTTGATATGTTGGATTATTAATTTTCTGGCCCAGAAGTAAGTGAACACCTAATGTGCCCATCTTTGGAGCCAGTCTATTTTTGACTGTTGTCTATAGAAAATGCAGAGAAAGGGGCATCTCCTGTGTGTGAACCTCAGACCTGTGTTTACTGTTCCCTGGAGGTTTGCTTATAACACGTTCATGATCTGGCACGCTCTCTGGGCGTAGTCATAGCACCAGTGTACAATCTGTTTGAATTCCTCCTTGGTGTCTACTGTTCCCCTCAGACGTTCCTGAGCACGGTGATTGTTCTCTGATTTAAAAGGGCATTCAGATGCCTCTTCCAAATTAACAATAACTCAGCTGTCGCTCATCCTTTGTGCTGGCTGCAGGCTGCACACCTTCATCAGGCTGCAGCAACTGCACAGCTTCTCCTTCAAATCTGTAAACCATCAGTGAGTGGTGGACGTTTGTTGTAGACACAGGGTGCAAATTCCCTCGGATATTGACCAATCTGGGGGAGTTTTACAGTGCTGAGTAATGTCTGTCTTACCTGTTTGTGGACACGTGTGCTGTAGTTACCTCCAGGCCAATAACATTGCTAAAGCAGCATCGTGAAACAACAGATTCTGCAGTAATGGTTGTTTTCCCCAGTTTCTCCTGAATCAGTCTCATGAGCCAGACATGCTAAATTATAATAGTTTCAGGGTTGGTTCTTCAGGTGCTAAAGCTACCAGCATAGGCATTCCTAAAGCTTTCACTCTTCATAAATAAATCCTTTATTCCTCTCTGGGAAGAAATTGTATCATTCTCTGTTAGATTTTGTCAATAAGGCTTTCTATGCCATTTTGCAACCCATGTGGAGAACTGGATTTTTATGTATCTTTTC